AACATCAGAATGTAGTTCCGATAATACCCTATAAACCAAAGAATACTTTTGCTTCAGCATTTCTTTTAAGCGTCGGAAAATCATTAATCGTCTTGATAACGCTGAGTAAGAGTAATTTTATTTAAATGACGGTAATCAGTACAAGGTCTTAATTTTTTCTTAGAAACTTTAACCGTCATTTTGCAGAATGCATAATTAGATTCATTCAGTTCGGTAATTTTGCATTGAGACATTTTATTAATTTCAGTTTCTGATGGTAACATTATATATGCCTTAGCTCTAGTGATTTCATTCATCTTGATAGCCTGCACCTTAAAATGCGTGACTCCGGGATTATTTGAGAATATATCGGTATACTTCATGAATAAGTCTTTGTGCTGGTCCATTTGACAATTATTTAATATATTTTTAGTTCATTCTCTTAAATTATCTTTATGAAAAAATATTAGAATTACAACTTATATTCGAAATTTCGATCTCATAATCAGTTCCCACGACCAGTTTCTCAATATCTTAGGAAATTTTTAAGTCCTCCGTTTTAATAATATATGGTTTAATCATATTAATATGACAAATCTGTGGACGATTATTTTCATCCAGAAAAGCTAACGATATAATTTATATCTGAAGTTTTATTTTTAACTTTGTCTGTTGCAATTCGCTCAACTAATAATTTGCTTTTCTTTGAAACAGCTAGCACAAGTACTGGGTCGTCTTCTTCAGATTTTCTCAGCAATTTTATGACACATTATTTTTCCTTTTGTCTTCTTTTGCTTTCTATTTTTACATTTCCAAATACTGGCACCATTACAGTTCATTTATTTATTATTTATTGTTTAAGTTAAAAACAGGCTGAATAGTGGCATCGTCTTTGGATTCGAAACGTTCATTTATCAAATTATAATACTAAGGGAGTCCTTAAATTATTTTTTGGTGTATGTGTGTATGCGTGTGTGAATTAATTCAGATGGAAAAAAGCAGACTTTCGTGAGCTGTGTTCTGTAATCGAATACGCATGATGCAGAATATATACGTCGTTTTTCGTCTGAAAAAGATTAAGGCAATGAAGTTTCAATGTTCTCCTTGGTGCATATTAAAATTTTTCCACTGTGTTGCTCCGGGGATGGCAAATGCAACCCTGGGTTACTTTTATCCTGAAAGTTTCAAGAGATTTGGAAAGTCTCACTATTTTTGGTATTATACACAAAGCCCATACTCTAAATAGAACCAAGCAAATTATCGCTATGTCTAAAATGCAAAGAGAAATGTAAGAAGAGTGTAAAAGGCCCTTTTAATTAAGAACTCAAATAGTTTAACAGAAGGTATTCCTGGTGCTTACAAAGCTAGCCAGGACTTATGGTGTAAATTCAAAAGTAGAAATTCAGTTTTAAACTAAATCTAAGTTAGCCAAAGACTATGCAGAAATGTTTAACGCACAAGTTGGCCGAAACCTACGTCAGCGTGATAACGCTATTAGCAAGATTAAAGTAACGCCGTAGACAGAATATACTTGTAGAATTTCCGCAAGTTACGCCGCCTTCAGCAGGAGGAGCACTCTCTGACTAAAGCAGTCTAAAATCTTCCTTTAAATACTATCTCTTTCTACATCAGTTAAATATGCGCGAGTAAAAATTTGCATTCTAGCAGAAAAACGGAAAGTAAGAAGTGATAGTATAGTTTTGGAACATAAAATAACTGGTTACTTTTAAATAAGTACCTTACAAATTGTATTATAAATTCATTCATAAAAGATGTCAGGCAACTTTCGTTAAGAGTGGACTTATAAAAGTCTTCCTATTCCGATGGATAGTAATATAGGCTGTACATTTGCACGTTGTCTCACTCCAGAATATCTTTATTATTATAGCTTATTTCCTTAAACCCATCCGTTGCCTCGTTAGTTGGAATACAGCAATGAGAAGGAATCGATTGAAGAACAGCTTTCCTTGGCTGGAAAATGTACGATCCAGGCGTAGGCTGCATTTTTAAATACTCTGGTATATATTCAGAGTATTTAAAATCACTACTTGGGGAATGCCTTGGTTAACCACTCCTTGTAGATCTTCGACATTATCATTGTATGAGGAAATGAACCGAGTATATGCCTCATTTGCAAGACGGAGACGCGAAATGGCCATTCAATGTGGTGCTAGGTATATTTAATAAGACATAAATGAAAAATAAATTATTTATGTTATGTTAATTTACGATAAAGTTTCCCAATTTCGACGCAATCTGATGACGTGCCCCAACGGCCATTCGAGGTGGTGTTGCGTATATTTAATAAGACGTAATGAATAAATTATTTATGTTAATTTACAGTAAAGTGCCCCAATTTCGACGCAGCCTGATGACGTGTCTAATAAACAGTGAAATTTCAAGTAATTCATGGGCATATTTATATTATACTAAACCCTTAAGGCTTGATGCCGACATCTGATTGCCATCTTAAAGATTCCTAAGAAATGTAACTATTCTGCAGCGTAACAAAGATGTTATTATCACACTTATACTTAAGCACTTTTGTCTCCAAGACATCGGATGCGTATTTTTACAGATGAAATTCATATTAATAGATTACTGATACTGTGATGTGTTAAGGACGTTCTGATATCTATATAACTATTTGCGAATGAACCGTTATAGTAAATTTCATGAATATATTTTGATTTATGGCACTGTGTAAGGTAATGATTAACATTTTGCGTTTAAATTTTGAACTTTACTTTTCCTTGGAATTTGCAAAATTCCTTTCATGGTGTTTTGAAAATTGAAACTGATCTATATTTTTAGAACACTTTAGTAAATTACATCATTTTAATAGCAGGTTTTAATAAAAAGATTAAAAGAACCAGAATTATTCAGATCTCTTTTCAGTATAAAATGCATGTTATTATGAATAACTGTTTTTGTTACTTGGTTTAAAATATTTTATTTATGACCAATCTGATACATACAGAAAATACAAATCCACAAATAGATTATTTCATTTTAGCTTTTGCGTCGCATTTAAGAGCATATGTTGAATAAAGTGTATTTTTCAAAAGAATTACATAAAAATTATTAGTCCAAAGGGGCTTTGTCCCTGAAGGACTACTGTTTTCTTTTTACGATTTTGCGTTGAATCACTATAAACGGCGAATCCCTTTTCAAACTGTTGCCACCAAATGTTAGAGTCCTGCATTGTGTTTGAAGAAATTAAATAATGAAAATTCTGCATAAATGTATGTATATTTCTATTCTCGCATTGTGATAAAACAACGGTACATAGAGCCATCGAATTTTGAATGACGTAATCTTCCACTAAATATGGACATGTGGAAGACCAAATTTGGAATTTGTTTAATTATCGATTTCCTATTTTGTAAAACTTTAACGACTTTTTGAGTAACAAACTCAACAATTTAAAAGCGAGCAATAGCAGCAGTCTACGGGGGAAAAAATCTTTTATCTCCAGAGCGCGGAACTGAGTATCGGAAATTCTACAGATAGGCTCATTTTAAAATTATTTTGCGACATTGCTATTGAACTGAATTTTATGGTTTAAGTGCAAAGAACATTATATTTAATAAATAAAGGTAACACACAAAATGTCAAAAATACGCCCCTTTGGACGTAATTTAAAATCTGAAAACTTTCAGATTTTTTTAATTTTAATAATTAAACCTATATATATATATTTAACAACCTCTCTTCTATCTAATTTTATTCATATTATAGATAACTACGGCTTAAGATAATAATGAATATAACCCTTTACAATCGTGAAAGACAACTCTATTTGGTAAGCTATTTTTTCTTTTTTGGGAACTGCATTCGTCAAACTCTTAAAACTTTGTCCATTGATTCTAAATTTTAAAGAGTATAACTCAGGCATTTTTGTAAAGAAATAATTTTTCAGAAGCCCTCTTAACTTAAACTAAAAAAAGCTTAAAAAGAAAAAAGCTTTCTTTGGCATAAGAGAAATTCAGATGAATATCGTGGTTTGGTGGGGAGAAAAAAAATATGAAAAGTCCTCTTCCGTAAAGATTAAAAACGAAATTTTTATGTTTATATTGCTTTGCATTTCAATCTTGTTTTCTTATTTATATTATGTCCTATTATTCAACTTTCATGAGGCCGCGGTGGTGCAGTGGCTAGCTCGTCGCGCAGCTGCATCACAGGTCCTTTCATCCCTTGAGTGGGTCGATAAAATGAGTACCAAGTTGGCTTGGAGACTAAACACCGGGCATCCTGCGACAAGTCGACCATTTGTCCAGTGCATATGCTGACGCACCCCGGAGCCCAAGGTCAAGAAAGCAGATTTCAGGGCACTGCAGGCCGTAGCCCACTAGGTCTGTTGCGCCAATGAGTTTAGTTTATTCAACTTGTATAAGTTTATTTTAATAACATTAAAAAAACATATTGTAAATTAAATCCAGTAATGCAAAGTTTGACGATGAAACTTTTTATGCGGATACTTAGGAATGCCCAAATGCAATCATTCAAAAGGTTGGCAAATTCCTAAAATCGATTAATTTTCGGATGGACTGACACAAATCTGGTAATTTTCTGAAATTCCTTCACACTCATTCCAGGGGTACTATATACCTGTCGCCTATTGCCTTAATGTTCACAGCGTGGTAAATGCTCCGGCTTCTCTCTTGGTCCATGCAGAAGCAAAAATCCACAATTGTAACGGATTTCAGCTCTGATTTGAGTGGTCGTTATGGTGTAAAACCAGAACAGAAAATCAACTTTGCTGCATCTTGCCTTTCTCAAAAATATTAAAATTATTTATTTACTTGCATTAAACGTTTCTAAAATTAAAAAATATTATTGATGCCATTTTAAACTGTTTTTAATTATTTTATCTCGGAAATTAGTTTTTACGATGTAAAATCGAATAACAATGGTATTATAGTTTTGAAATCTTTTGTAAACGTACAGAAGTGTTCCACTCCATTTTAATAAAAACAAATGTATAATTAATTTTAAATTAGTTTTCCGCTTAATTTCAGGTTCAAATGGCACTGAGGAAAGCATACATGAGATCTGTGGCACAACGGAACCCAAACTATAGGTCTAATTGCCGAAGAGGATTGTCCCAGACGTCCGGCACTTACCTCTCGTCCCAGTCTGAAGCATCTTGCCACAACATCGATGCAAGCAGAAAGAAAAGAGCTCCTTCTAGAGCAGTCCTTCGACTTCATGAAATGTCCTGCAACCAAGAAACGAAAAGCAGAATAGAAGCAACAACTGTTATTTTCTGAATCACGTGAAAACTCAGTTTAAAGAAGATAAAATATTTCCATATTTAAAGAAGATAAAATATTGCTGGAACATTTCCAAAGACCGAGCACGTTTTACTGAATAAGCATCTCCATTAAATACTTCATTTTGTGTGGGTTAAAGGATATTATAATAAAACAATATTCTTATAAAATAAAAATCTGAAACATAAGTCCAAAACATACCAATGGAGAAATATGGTGAAGTTCAAATACTTTGTAAGTCTTTAACAGAGCGTGAGTTAATAGAAATCAACAATTAGTGTTTAATAGTTCCCTACTTAATCGTGAAATGGCTAACTATTTTATATTAAAAACTAATGTCTGCCAAATTCCTTTTAAATGATTATTATAATAAGTAAATGTGTAAATATTTTTCCGTCGTTAGAAAACTTGTCTAATTTTCCGAAATATTTCCTTAGACGTTTTGGCTAGTGTGACTCCTAAAAATGCTGCTGAATTCTGAATGGTAGTTTATCTTTCATGTATATACACAATATCATTAAAGTCCATTTTATTCATCATATGAAAATTGTTCTCGTCAATTTTTTTATCAATTTAATTTCTTAATTTATATTTCCATGAAGAGTTGTAAATTTATTGAAATCCTCTTTGAAACGTTGGATAATACTGTCATAATCACAATTCCGGTGGATTAAAAACATGTTACATAACTGGCAGATATATTATAAGTTTAGATAAAATCCTAGACAGGAAAATAAAATTATGTATATGATATAGCAGTCATCTCAAACAGGATTACGCAACACAAGTGTAAAACGCATTCCTGAAGAATAATATTCTATGATCCTCGTATACATTCATATGCATACAATACCTGTGTGTATAGTAATTCATGTGTATGCAATACACACTTATATAATTCATGTATTTACAATACACACTCGTATAGAATGTGTACTTTTATATGCTATATATATGTTACCGTGAAAGACCGAAATCTGGAGAATGTCAACATTCTCCAGTCAATGTCAACATCGACATAGTTGCTTGGTGTATGTCCCAAATATTGCCTAAATAAACTGTTGAACTTAAAACGAACAGTACATTCTAAATGAGAAAAGAAACTAACACCAATAATAAACTTACTTAATTGTGTTCTTGACATTGTGCAAGCTTATTTATTTTGGCAACTTAATCTGTTATGACATTTTAAATTGCTCAAGAGTTCCTTGCTTTTACAATGCATCTCTATCTATCTTCTGGGGTTCTCGTTTCGACCTCCAGCAGCGTATTCTTGTCCACCACAACATGCATGCGCCAGAGCGTGATTGTCGACATTCACCAGTGATGGTGCGAATGTATAAGAATATAACCAACTACTCGTGTTTTCACCTATGTATTTGATACGCATCGACGTTCATCGGAGAATGTCGAAATTCTCCAATTTCGGTTTTTCACGGTAACTTATATGTATATAAATTAAGCACTAGAATACGCATGTATATGCATAAGTTGCAATGGAAAGTCTATAATGAGTACCCTCTATTTTTAGTTAAATGTCCCGAACTGTAAGAATTTAAATCTTTCCCTAACAAACTGGAGTATCTGATAGAATAATAACGAGTCCAGTGCCCCGGAGTTAAAATAGAAAAGCTAAAATAGTCAGTTACAAAGCCGTACAGAATTATCTAATAAATAACAGTAAGATATGTTAAAGGACATTCAGAAATACACCTATATGCATTATTTACAGCTATACGTCATCATACGCAAATTGATTACAGGTTACATATATTTTTATACAAGCATGGCTATAGATGAATCTGTGTCACATTGGTGATATTTTTTCATATATAATGAATAAATATAGTTATTCAAAATTTGTCACTTGCGTTGAAATATTAGGCAAGTACCTTGCTTTTTGCCTTTATTCTCATACTTGAAACAACAAAGAGCCTATGGAGTCATCACATATCATGTCGTTTAGGGCTTGCTAAATGGAGACTGTAGTACTATGCTACTCATCTGAGTGCATACAATCCTGGAAGTAGTTCTTTCAGTTAATGGGGACCTAATGGAAATGGTGGGCATCAGGCTATATGCGATTACATTTACCAAAACACATTTGGTGTCATATCGCAACTAATAAGACGTGCAATGTATCAAAACTTATAAACGCTTTTCTGATGTCATTCTGCAAGTGCTTAGAATTCTTCCTCAAATAGCAAAATGTTCGCATGATTTGGTACCCCCTAAAGTTAATATATAAGACGGGTTGTAAAGGAATATATCTTGAAATATGCTTTTGTCATTCGAAGCATAAGTGATAAAACAAGTGCTTTCAATAACAGCATAAGTGCTTCAGTAACAGCGAAACAAAGATATAGATATAATATTTGCGCTTGTAACTCCACAGGAAAGCAATAACCACCCCTAACAATATGATACAGGACTTAAAGCACTCACAAGTAGCTCAAGGGGCTACGCTTATGTATCTCTAAGCAAAGAATGGCCAGGTTGGATGAAGATGCAAATCATTTTGTACGCAGTTAAATTTTATGCCCCACCAGTCCAAGATGTCTTACATATTACTTTAGCAACAGTGTAATATATTCCATCATAGCCATTGCGTATATACAATGCTTAATTTATAATCTAGGCAGCGGTGTAAATGCCCAATCTGCCCAAGTCCGAACATAAACCCAGACAACTGATGACACCGCCAGCAGTGGCAGAGCCTGCGATATCGATTGCAGCAAACAACAATAGCACCTCGCCAACAGAATGGCACTGTCGTCCCAGAAGGCAGTATTAATCTGGGCAGATAGTGTGAGGGGCCTTTACTTACTTAATTTACGGTAAATAATAGGTGGTCCCTGCACTTAGCCTAAGTGATAAAAAAACAAGCACGCGAATCAAACCTCAGTGAGTATGAAATATTTTGAAGAACACGATGGAACAATTTAATTCATTTTCCAAATAAGAAGAAAAATCACCAAATGTGACAGAGATTCTTCTGTAGATAAGCTTATATGAAATAAATGTCTTCTGTATCAATTTATAAGTAATGATGAATAAAAGGTAATAATGTATGTTACTTCATTTCTGTACGTAGACATGCGGTTATTATATAGTGTTTAAAATTTTGTGACTAATAGATTTTTTTCTTTCTCTAGTCTCTGTAGAATTGTTCTTGAAAATTTCTTTAATTTTTCAGCTAGGAAATACCACAGGCGTTTTTACCCACTTGGCCATGTCCCAGTTTGCTAAAGATGAGCCTAATATTTATAGTCTGGAAAGTTTAACTCGAAATAAAATAAGTTCAAACGATTTTCCTTTGGACGTTATGCATAAGCAAGTAACGCTCAGAAATAAAATTTTCCTGGACTTAGTTAAAGCGCTATACATTTTACTTCCATCTATAGATTCCGTTTAATGTATCAGCATATAAATATAAAATGAAAATAAAAGGAGAGGCAAAAATTGCTAAAGCCTTAAAGAACATTTGAATTCTAATTCCAGAGATTTCAAATTAAACAAAATTAAAATAACCAAAACTAAGTTAAAGCAATAAATGTGCGCGTAATAACCTACTTATTAAACAAGAAGTCTGTTTGCTTTTTATTGCATTTACACTTGCATTTTGCATAAAACCTGTAATAAAGGAAACATAAAAATATTGAGGGCGTAGATATGTAGAATGTTGAATCCGTAATGATCAGGAAATGGACATTGGCATAGCATGTTCGTTCACAATGAAAGGCAAACTTGCCAGACGGGGAAGATTAAATATTTATCTTTATTTCAATTGATATTTGTGGCCACAAATCACTTGGCACTCTAATCGAGCCTACTTAAGAACAGTTACCTTTTTTGATACTGTTGCAATAGGAAGAAACGCAGCACGCCATCATCAACGGCAAGAGAGCTAGAAGCAAAAGTGCGCAGTCATCCATTATGGCAGCGTATTAAGAGAAAATTTTTGTTTAAGTTCCGAATTTGCTGTCATCAGCATTATGTAAGTCATATCATGTGAACTGATCTAGAAATAGTTCAGTGCACAAAAAGGCATTACTATTTACTATTTTTAGAATAGAGAGCAGGGAAGTAAAGGGCTGTTGCTTTGATTTACATATTTATACAGGTTGATCGAAAGAACATGATAAGAAATAGGCTAATATTTAAATATAGGAATAGTTAATACATTCAAACGAATTTTATTTAAGAAATCATATGCGTTATAAAGTAAAGAGTTTTTAAAATCGTTGTTTTCTGCAGTAAGAGTAAAATATAGAACACTCACTATTTTCTAAGCTCCATAATTACTGTTTTAGAGCATCGGAATTTATATCTTTAGTTATATTAGTTGCTTAAATAAATCTATGTATTGTTGTTAAGATCTTTAATATATCCCAGTAAGAAATAATCATGAAATTTATGAATGTATTTAACAAATCTATCTACCACACACTTTCTATGTAGATCAAAACTTCTTTTACCAAATATCGTTTTCATTCAAGTGAAAGCGTTTTCACTTCTATTGATTTGAAATTCATTATATACCAAAGAATATCATTATGAGCTGTAAATTCATTTTTCAAAGTTTTCTGTAATTCTGTCTTGCGGCAGGGTGTTTTGTACGATTATTGGGCCATAATTCACTTCCTTGATGACTTGAAAACGAACTTCTTCGCTGAATTAAATGCGTTCTTTTCTTTGATTTGACCGAATTTTTATCATTTTTTATGCTCGGTCCTGACAACGTCTGACAGGGCCTAACAAGGCTGTAGAAACTGTCTTACAAATTTCTTTGTTCTTTTCGATCAAATTCTTAATATTCCTAATTGAGATGAAACATTTAATATTAAATGAATGGCTTTTCTTCAAACAAACGCACTTTTTCTGCATTTTTATCTGTAATAACATCGGGTGTGTTGTCATATCTTGCATTTTTGCACCAAAATTTGTATCAAAATAATATCATCTTAAAAAATAAATAAATTTTTAAACCTTAAAATTTATGATATATTAACATTTTCAGTAAGTCCTTATTTTATGCAAAATTATCTACTAAATTCCTGTCGAACTATGAGATTAGTTTAGATTACTATCATAAAATTGTCCTACAACAGAAAGACATTCTTTCGAGATTAAAAATTCCTTATTAAAAATGATTCCATCTGAATAAGAAGGACCTATTTTTAAATTCTGGTAATTAAACATACCAACTGCACTATTGCAAAATTAATAAAAATGTAATCTCAACAACAGAAGAAAGTTTTTTTATTTAGGTCTCTTTGTACGTAGATAATTGACATGTATAACATGACCTATAAGAAAAATTTCTAGCTTTGGTATGTAGAAAGAATTAAATTTATTTCATCTTCTTTATAAAGACCAGCAGAACTTATTAAACGTCAAATTAACTGTGTTCCTAGCTATAAAACAAAATAATTTAATATATTGCTCTGAGTCCAAGAACAAAAATTAATAGCCTTGATAATCTTGCTTTAAATTAATTTGGAACTGCACCTGCATTTAAAAAAGA